TTCAGTATAGCGGTTGTCTATGTCCATCCTCTCACCCTCCCGCCACCACTTAACGTCTTATTATCTTCCTGTGTATATTCCTACAACAAGTACACGTATGATCATTACACTCACTATTCGGATAAATTGCGTCTTTTTATTGTTTTGTCAAAATTCGTGAAGGGAACTAGTTGTTTCAAGTTCTTACTAGTGTTCTAAGCGTCATTCAGAATAAGTTGATTAGAGGTTCTGTATGCATATTAGTGTGAATGGTTTGTGATAGCTATATGTTAAGAATCATATCGTAGTTGTCGGTGCTTTATTGAATAGAATTTAGTACTTCAATCAGTGTGTAGAAGATGATATTTAATGGTTAAAGTGTAAAATTGTGTGTTAGTGATGTCATGCATATTTCTCTTGTTGTTCGCAGATCTCGGGAATTCATCTTGGATCTTATCAGTGCATGTGATCCCATTTATACACAGATGGATATAGAATTGCAGTTGTGTTAGTGCTCAGGCTTCTAAAGAAAAACACCATAGTGGCAAACGTTTATCACCTTGTACAAGTGAGACAGCAATCATTCGAGTCCAAGATACTGTTATCAAAAGACAAATTCCTCTGATATACACTTTGGTCTAACCATGCAAACTATAATCTTCAGAAAAGGGATTACCATCTAGCTGAACTGACCTACAACCCTTAAATAATTCGTCCTACAGAGTTCAGTCGACCACTGAATTTTCAGCGTAAGTGGTTGTGTCAGATCTGCTGTTCATTGCACAACAAAAATATCTAACATTTATGGAGTACTACATTTCTAATTTTATTCGCATATTCGATAATATTCGCTTCGAGAGTTTAGCCTACCTGTCTACGATATAAATTGTTTGTGACTCAGGATGAATTTTGAAAACTTATAGTCAATAGGCTGTGTGAATCATCTTCAAGTTGAAGTAATTCATTAGTGGTTTGCAACTACTCCACAGCTTTGTTATTAGTGTTCCATTTATCATTGTGTAATTTTTACATGTTTTTTTTTTAATTTCTTTTCAGTGATTCACTTCAGCTTGCTCGTCTCTATAGTGTCATGAATTATTGGCCGCTCCTAGTGTTCACTTCCTGAATATAATATCTTCCGAAGAAATGATGACATCTTCTGAAGGCTCGATGATGAAAACTTGGTTACTGGTTGTTTTCAACGTATGTTGAGGGCATACAGACTAACTTGGTCATCCAACTATTAGGTGTTCTTTATTAATTCTCACGACAGAAGTCCGCCTGAATTATTGTGAAAATTTCGATGTTTTGAAAGTTCATGCAATAAAGGAACTTTTCTACAATTATTCCATGTGTATTGGATGTGATGATCTCTCTGTAGTAAAGAGTTAAATCTGATAGACACTTTCATCATTGTATTCTGTCTTCTACTTATGTTACATTCTTTCATATCTCAGAAACTCATAGTTATAATTTATTTGACAGTATTTTTTGGCATAGTATAATATACAACAATCATATGCATTAATAATAATACACAACAACAAGAAGGCCTAATGATGCTGTTACCTGGCTGATCGATCGTCTTTCAAACCCATGACTTACTCGTTTACTTACTAACTAACTAGAAATCAATTCTGTGATCTGATAAGCCACAGGTACACTATACCTTATTTCCTCATTCAACTAAGTAATCTAATTTCTCTTTTCATTTTTATAAAGTGTTTTCACCGCTGGCATTTTTTTTCTCTAAGTCCGCATCATTCTCATGTGTACTGTTTATCTAAATTGAATTTTTTCCTCAAGTTGCTTTAGGAAATAATAATTATCATGAAATATGAATAATATTTTTATTCGGGTATGTGGGGTTCAAAAAATCAACTTTTCATTGAATTTTCAGTGTTAAGCATTTTTCTAGGTTATACTGGTGAAGATAACAAGTCATCTATTCTGTCTATACCAAGTATGACTTATTACCTTAGTAGGCAGTCGACTTTCAGTCGATAAATCCTCTGGGGTTGAGTCCAGCTTCTACTATTCCACTTTAACCGCATATAAATAGTATCAACAGTCCTCATGTAGTAGTTTCGATTTATTGCCTGGTTTACGAGAAGTCACTTCTCTTTAGAGTAGTAACAGGCCAGGCAGAGTAGAGTACTGATTGATTGATTGGGTAATTAGGTGCATTACGCTTAGTAAAGCTAATCAGTATCACTACTAAATAGCCTACAGTGGTATAATTCTACAAGATATCAAAATAAGTGATTCAGCGAAGAGACCCGTTTCAACGAAATTATTATTAAGCTTTACAATCGTATATATATATATGTATATAGGGTTTTTTATACTGAGAAATTACATCATAGGTGTGAATACATGAAATAATTATAATAGTAGTATGAAATGCAATTAGAATTAAAATATTTGTGATTATAATCACAGCTAAATATCAAGTGGCAAAACAATCAATGTCATATGTAAAACAATTCATAGGATGTATAGAACTTGGAAGGGATGTGAAATTATACGATTAGTATGCAAATAGGATAAAAATAAAGACGTTATGTAACGTTCTGTAAGATTTCTTCTGCTTTTTATTTCGTATTTTTATCTGAATATAAAAATGGACGAAGAGAGACGTGATAAGGGAATGTTTGTTTGGAATTCGATATCGCATTACAGCAAAATTTTGTACAGCTTATCTTCAAATCACCATTTTTGCACAGATCTTCCGTGTTGTGCCTGCTACTTCTGTCCTTCACATATTGTGTTTCTTTCACGTCTCCCACGTTTCTCCGCAACGCTGAATCATTTGCTTTGTCTGATGTCAAATCTAACTCCATGCTATATATTATGTTTGTATACCGATGAAGGTCTGTTTATGTACTACTGATGCATCTTATCAGTAGTAAACGTCACATTACAATCATTAAAGTTACTAATAGCTTTTTTGACGTTAAATATGTATACTTATTTCATATCCTTCGTACTTTTTTATATTCTATGTACAACGGGGATACTGCATTTTGATTATTTCAAATGTTCACCTTTTATTGTTTTCTTTCTGTGTGTGTAGAGATGACGTTTAATTGAAACATGGTCGCCAATTCTGTAATAGATTTCTTCTTCTCCACTGTGCATGTGACCTCCGTTTTACTTCCTAATGTCTTCAGGTAAATGTAGTGGCTGTAGTAGTAGCTGTTGTTGTTCTAGTATTTTAATGGTAGTATTGTTACCAATAGTATTTGTACCAGTGCTATAAATTAACAGTATTACAAGTTGTAGTTATTGCATGAGTTGTAATATTGGTTTCGATCGAAGTACTTGGCCGGTATTATTAGTATTATTTTTAATGGTAGCATTTTGACCTATATTGATAAAACATTATACTGCCTCATGCTCTGTCGCCTTTTATGTGAATAATGCATGAAAAGTACGTGTGTGATCGAAATGTACGAGATATGTTGCGCATATACACTCACTACACACATCTCAGACTCCCCAAAATCGTCTTCCTGTTTTCGTTTTTCGAATTTCATAGAGGAATTTTAAACTTGTTGTCTTGTTTTCAATAAACCTTTAGGCCTTAGTAGAATAAATGGGCGCTTCTGGCATATCCGAATCGCTTTATACACCTGCAAATCTAAATCACAACCTTCCAAGATTATTATACTGCATTGTACAATTTAGCGGAATAAAAACCAAATCACATAATGATTAATGCCTTCATTGTTAGCGATAAGGGTATCTGAGATAGCCCGCTTGTGTGTTGACACAGACTGCTACTGATGTATGTAATGGGTGGTATAATTGTGAAAGTGAAATGGAAGTCTGATTAGAGTAGACAGATTAATCAAAATACCAAGTTACAGATTACTAAGTGAACTTTGTTGTTGACCAGCAGATAAAATATCGGACTAGTAATTCAAAGGCGCTGGTGGTTTTAAACCTGATTCACTGCTTCAGTTTCAATGCAACATCACCAATTTTTACCATTGAGCAGTCTGTGTCAACCCCATCTCAGATACTCTCCTCATCAGTTAGTATACCTAATCCTCGCCGAATTCATTCACAATATGATTTGGATTGATAGGGGTTCGACGTGTCTGGTCAAATATATATACATACTGAGTAACTAGTTATATCTGATGTCTGATAACTAGGGGTGTTACATGACTTTGCGAATCTCAACAAGTGAAAAAGAATTTTCATTCGTTCATCCGTCGGTAAAAAGCAAGCAAGCGAATAAGTCATCAGTTCTTTAGCTAATCAAACTTACAGTGAAATTGTGATATGGTAACTTGAAAAAATATCATTGTAAAATATTATTCTATGAAAAAGGAATTGTATAGGCGTATTTATAAATCATCATGTTCCAATGTTCTGCGAAAAATAAAATAACACATCCAGTTAAAGATTAGTTGCTTTGGCAACCGACTCGCCTGTTTCTCACTTATCTCTAGCTATTCACTTAGCTTTATTCGTTTTAGTGATCTTATGTAGTATGTTAGACAATGAATGACCATAAGATAGGGAGTTTAAAAGCAACTGCAATCATCATTTTCGATGTATACAAGAAGAAAATAGAGATAGATAATGATGAAGGTAAGTGAAACATGTATTATAAAGGTAGGCATTGCTGGTCGGATAACGAAATAAAAACAGTATGCTCTCTCAATTCAGTCTTCCAGGCCTACTAAGCATAGTACATTCAACAGTATGTCAATAAAAATTGATGTCAGTAAACCTTTGTTTCAGCATACTTTGTTCTTATAACTTACACCGTATATCTCTCCTTTGACCGCATTTTTAATGTTTCTCCATGTATTTTTAGTTGAATGACAATAAGTCAATTTAGTCTCGATTTAAAAAAGTCTCTTCTCTTCAAAAGTATGGTAGTATCAGGTTCAAGGGTAACCAGAATTACTGGACTTTTGTTTGGTGCAGGAAGGAATGCTGGAAGATGTATGTATTTACATTGCTTCCACTCTCCTCCTCCTTCTGGACATCTTCACCACACTGATTTTAATATGAAGTGAACTTCTGCATGGACGGATTTGTTCAACACATAACTTTAAATCGGGGTTAGAGAATGAAAGGAATACGTTGGAATACAAATATCGTGTTCACTTGGTCACTGAAACTTAGAGTGAAAACCACCATAAAAAAAGAAGCAAAAAGGAATGAAGTAGTTTTTCTTTTTTAGAATTTATTGCTAAAAATTCACTTGCACATAAACTGGACAAGTGTATTGATGACTAGAAGTAGTGGTTAATCGAACAACGATGTGCTCATACATACACTTGCTGACAAGCGCGTATGAGCGCACTGCACAAAAGCGAAACAATAAAATTACAACACATAAAGAAAAGATAAAGAACAGTTGAGATTGATCTTTCTCTCATAATACTGTCTAAATCACAGTACAACCACCCTTCTCTTGAAATGGATTATCCTTTTTACTAGCGAATCCAGAGACTAAACAATCCTTATCTCTGTTCTGCTCCATATAAACAATCATATCTTGTACACATTCTGAGACTGGACGGCGATTTATATTTGCTTCTTGTCGAAGTTGTTCAACCAACTTTCTTTGTTGACTTAAAGTAGACATTTTACTAAAACACCTATGGTATTAAAAAAAAAGAAAAAACGAAAAGATAGACATTAAGAAATGGAGGAAAATTGAAATGTGATTGCTTATTGAATTTGTTTTATTATTAATTTATTCATTTACGTTCGCAATGGGACATAGGGTTTCAAGCTAGAGACTTGAAATGTCGGTAGCAGTGGTCTGTATTTTCTACGGGATGGAGTTGCTAGCCTCATGCTCAACCCCCTCCCTTCCCCAGTCTTATTAATTGGTTAGAGAGGTAGAGGAGTGTCTCGTCGGCAGGCGATCGAACCCCGAATCACATGGGTGGTTGGTGAGCATTCTACCACTGCGTCACTGACGCGCAGTTTATTGAATATCTATTCTTAATATAGTTACATATTTGCTTTAAACAACATAAATAATCAAAGTTACATCCAATATTTAATTTGTCACATTATTCAATGTCCAATGTAGTGGAATTGAATATTGTAAGACAGTTTACTAAACAGAAGTGCTACCAGGAAGGTACAGATAACACACATTATCTCCACAATGAGTGTTCAGTAATAAAAATAAGAGAAACATGATCTTCTTTAGATTGACTTGTAATGAATGTTTAAACACTTCACTTGTGTAACACAGCAGTTCCACGTTTCACTGATCAACCTAAATCTAAGTTGCATATAACCTGAAAACTATAACGCGGACCTGGATAGATGTGTGTTGTCTACATAGTGGTCAGTACTATTTTCACGATCGATTATTTTCAGTAGTTCCCAAGTTTTATACTGATATCAATATTTTCAGTAGTGACTTTGACGACTCATTTGTTCTCACCTGACATAGTTTAATCACGAGGCTTTCAGAATTATTCTACACAATTTGCATAATTAATTGAATACGGAAAACTGGTAATCTCATCATTAGAAAGTGTAGGTAAGCACTCATCATGCTACTGCCAATTGTCAACATTCATGTGATGTGTGATCAGCAACGGTTTAGCTTAAAGCTGTGAATCACTGACTAAATTAATTCAAGGGACACAAAAGGAATGTACGAGTAAACTGATTTTGATGCTTTACTTATCAGTGAGGAGAGTAAAAATAAAAATAGTGTGTAGATTGAAGAGATTCACCTTCTTCATGCAGTTATAATTTCCTTATAACAGACAAATTAAACAGTGTACTGATAACGGGAATTTAAATTGATGCATTCATTAGCATCTGAAACTCTCTGTTGACTTGACCTATACTAGTCTGGATATCATGGACTACGTCTACCCCTGGCTTAGTGATAGGGAGTGAAGTGATAGAACATGTTGACCACTTCACCTATTTGGGAAGTTGTATCAGCACCCACGGATTGATTGGTGACGAAATCTCAGCACGGATCCGAAAAGCTCGGGCTGCTTTCGCTAACTTACACCATCTCTGGCGTAGGCGCGACATACGACTATCAACCAAGGGACATGTGTACTGCTCAGCAGTTCGCTCCGTCCTTCTCTATGGCTCTGAAACGTGGCCAATACGAGTTGAAGACATGAAGAGGTTGGCAGTTTTTGATCATAGATGTGTATGATCTCTTTCTCCCGTTAGGTGGCATAATAAGGTAAGTAATGTTGACGTTAGGCGTAGAGTGCTGGGCAAAGAGGGAAAATCAATTGAAGAGGCTCTAAAGTTACATAGATTGAGATGACTAGGTCACGTGCTGCGCATGCCTAACCATCGCCCCCCCCCCCGACGGGCATTACCAGCTGATATAGGTGCATGTTGGAAAAGAGTAAGTGGTGGTCAAACAAAAACATGGCATCAATCCATGAAATCCTTGACAGTTAAATTGAGTCAGGTAGGGGGATACAGACTTCCGGGTTGGGGCCCTCGGGACTCTAAGAATCAATGTCTGGAGACAATAGGTGACATGGCTCAAAATCATTGTCAATGGCGCAGATGTATTCAGTCTCTGTAATATTTCATATTCCTTTCTACCATTACTCATTCTGTTTCGCTCTTATACTTGTCAAAACTCTACTGATTCCCTTCACTCATTTTCTTGTCTACTTTAGTGTGCTCCTTGGAACGTGGCAACTCGAACTGCTGCACTTCGGTGCCAAGTTCTATGTTGAATCCAGACAGAGAGACAGTCTGGTTATCAATACAAGAAAGTTTAAATAATCTTCACAAGGCAGTTGTGTTGCTATCATAGGGCTAAGCAATGCTCAAAGTTGTTGACAAGCTTACAAACATGACATTGTGTTCTTTTTCTGGGATCGATCTCTGCAGACTGGCTCGAGTATTTGTAATCCTAGAACAAGGCACACAGGCGAACAAATTGTTTACAGTTATATCTTCAGGCTTCACTCCAAATTTATATATAGAAATTTTAACCAATACGGTGAGTTTTTGGATCGAATAATAATATTATGGTAAATGTTTTTAACGTCAGTAATAACGATGATGATAATGATAACAAAATAGTGATAATAAGGTGACGATAAGAATAACGAAGGTAGTAATATGTGTGTATATGTAGACAATTCCATAAACAAATTAGGTCAAATCTTAAAAGTCATGTAAAACTAAAAGTGAAGTGGCCAGATAATCAGAGTTTAATATCGTAAATATTAATTAAGTACGAAGGAAATGGAAAATAAGAAAGGGTGGGAGGGTTTTGATTAGACCTTACCTAGACCAAGGGAGAGGCAAAGGTGGAAAAAACTTCTTTTATATGCAAAGACTAAGATTGTTCTCGCGAATTCTCATAGCTCTGGCTATGTGTGTAAAAGGTGGATACCAATTCCGTTCGAAAGGTTCGATGGAATGCGATAGATAACTTTGAAGGCACTTCTTCTGTTCACTTGGTCACCACTATCACCAGTCAAAGGATTCAGAATAGAACTTCTTATACATTTTATTTGGCCTTTTTCGAACCATGGAGGAAGGTGCTGATTAATACGTTTGTTGAGGTGTCTAGTTGTTCGCCCCATGCATAGCTTTCTCCGTTTAATATCTCCACAAATTCTGCCATGTCTTGGGACGATGTTTAACAGTGTTTTAGTTCCAGATGTCAAAATGAATCATGAAATGAATAAATCTGTTCAATGCAAACTGGTCATCAGAGGTTTCAGAGCTAATAGGAAACAAATTAAAGATCTTCGTTATGTGCGAGATTCTGATCTCGCCACCTAAAACTTCTCATTAGCCTTTAACAAATACGCAGTTAAATAATTTCTTGAAACAATGTCATACGCATGCTTTAAGTGAATGGAACTGGTATTCTCCCCACCTCATTCCACCAAAAGTTATATTTTAAAACTTCCAGTGTGTTAAACACAACTATTTCGATTAAGTGGTTGTCTGTGTCTGACTAATTTTCAAGTATCATTACCCAGTGACTGGTTTAACAGTAGGATAGCTGCGTCTTGGAAGTGTAGTCGATGGATTCCTAGCTGTTATTACGTTGAACAATATGAACTGGAATCAAACGAAAGACACATTGCTTGTAAGATCTTGACGTTAGCCTAATTTAGACCTTAGGAAAAAATGTGAAATTCACTTCATTATTCAACTGGTGTCGTTGTAACTGTCAAGACTAAAATTTAGTCAAGACTTCGTAATCACTTATCGACAACCAAGAATCAAAATCAATATCAATGGTAAGACTGCATGTTTGCATATCAGTAGGATTTTACTAGATTCAGGTGGATTAATATTCACGGGATACACAGTACAGTTCAGTTTAAAACACACTCATCATTAATGCATAACCCCGTCATCGTTCTTCTACACCCTTCAATAAACAACTAAACGATCTGCTTTCCTAGTTCAGTAGATATACTACTACGAAAGGACTTTCAAATAATAAGAGCATCAATGTGAATTGTTGGTATTAGATAGTTTTAGGCAATCGGCAGGATGCCTTGCTGAAGGCAATCACCAGTCAGCAAGGCGTATATGAAACCTTGAAGAAATTTGTGTCTGAGATTCGGACCAGTGTTACACAGGGATGCAGTCTGAGACGTTACCACCTAGCATGGTGGCCACATTGTAAACTCGACTGATAGAATTCAGTCTGCACCAAAGATGAAACCAGATACATTCTACTAAGTACTAGCTACTTTCCTGGGGCTATAATGAGAAGTAGTGATCAGTGGGCTCCATTTGTTCGGAAGTGAGGAAAAATGCTCGCCACACATAACATGGGCTGGTGCCAGTCACGAATCGGTAGAGGGCAGAATTCATGGAATGGTCACTGAATCGGGTTTTCATTTGCGGAATGGTCTACGAGCTCGCCTTGTAATCGGAAGGTCTTGAGTTCAAAGCCCGGTGGTATGTGCCTACTGCCAATGAGTCCCAAACTAGGAGGAAACTGTTGTCCAATAATCCAAGTTGGTTTTCAATGTTTCCCTAACTGATATCAATCCATGGTCAGAACTTGAAAAATAACTCAAATACTTATAAATCAATTCCATTATGGGTAAAAGTTATTGTGATAAAGTCTCACAGTGTTATACATGAATATTTGCTGATCGGGAAATATTAATGTATATATAACACAGTAGGACTTTATCAAAATAAATTTTACCCATAATGGAATTATACTCTTCCACAGTGCACAAGTTCTATTCTTATATCCAATTACAAATCAACCCTTGAAAATATCATATGTGTGTTGAAACATTTTATCCCTTTGACACACTTAAATGAGGCACTAAGACGATAAATGCTGCACAGTGATACCACTTCATACGGTTACTCTGCAACTGTCACCCTTCACAAGTATAAAGTGTTTAAAAATTATTCAGTTGTATAAAATAAAGGTACATATTAATACCCGATCGTATATCAATGGGTCAAATAATTCATGGTAAACGAAGATTGAAGTCTATTGTTTTCTTTACACATATAATATATTGGATGCATATGATTAATCCTCGAAAGTGGTGCTTTCATCACCTTTAATCACCTTGAATCAAAGTTAAGTGAAATAAACTGATAAACAATCATTAATTCACCGATAAAAGCCATCCGGTCATGAATAAAGGAATAAAAAGTTCAGCGAAGAGTCTCTTTTCGGTGGCGAATTCATTCACCTAGCTGGACAATCGCATTGATATATAATTATTTCGTGTGTTAGTTAGGGTTACGGTTTAAGTCATGAAAGTGTTTCAGAAATGTGATGAATAATCAAATTGTAACTATGGCGGTGGGGGTGAGGGGTTTGGAGTGTAGATTAGTCAGTATTGACAAGGGTTGTGTCATATGAAAGCCACCTAGAGAAACAGAATGTTAATGAAAGAGCATGGAGACGCGTGTGGAAAATGAGTTATGCAATAGGCAGAAAGAGTACATCAGGGATTACTTAAGAAAACGATGTTACTAAGACGTGATAAAGAAATTCACAAAGGCATTAATAACAAAGTAATGGAAACTGGAATTATAATCAAGGTAGAAGGAGGTTGAAGAAGCTTCTTGTGTGTACATTAAATAAGGTTTTCTATCTGGAACACTAGGGCCTCCTTGTCAATATTTAAAGAAAATTCATTCAAAGTCATCTACAAAGTTATAAGAAGCCTCCAGAAAACGGTACGCTTCCGTGTACTTTGCATTATTCAAAAGGCCTTACAGATCCGAAGAAACTTCTCCACACCATCCTTCTACCTTGAGTATAATTCCAGTTTCCACTACTTTGTTAATAATGCCAATTTTGACTTCTCTGTAACATCGTTTTCTTAAGTAATCCCTGATGTACTCTTTCTGCCTATTGCATAACTCATTTTCCACACGCGTCTCCATGCTCTTTCATTAACATTCTGTTTCTCTAGGTGGCTTTCATATGACACAACCCTTGTCAATACTGACTAATCTTCACTACCACCTCCCACCTCACCACACCGCTATAGTTACAGTTTGATTATTCATCACATTTCTGAAACACTTTCATGACATAAACCGTAACCCTAACTAACACACGAAATAATTATATATTGATGCAATTGTCCAGCTAAGTGAATGAATTCGCCGCCGAAAAGTGACTCTTCGCTGAACAGTAATAAATACTGACTTCGTGACCAGATGTTAACAAATGCTTTGCAATGGATGATGCTGCATATCTTCGACTGTCTAAATACATGGCAAATAAAGGAATGAGCGAAGAAATATGCATGCCTCTTCAGTTAGTTCCTCATCATCGGCTGGCTGGCTGCCCAGCTGGCTCTACACTGATATATATGGTGTCTTACATCAAAATTTGTTTTACCAATCAAGTAGTTATTTTAGTTAATCAGCTTTAGTTATATCGGAGTGATGGTGAAATTAAGAGGTGTAAGGTCATCAAAACAATTGAATAATAGAAATTCGTCACAAGATATGTTAGTTACGAAATTACGAAATTCCAGGTAAGTTAATTCACAGGCGTTAGCAACAAGTTATTACATAATCAACAAATTTGAAAAATAACAATGATGACTGAGAAGAATAGGATGATTCAGAGGAATTACGTAGAATACAAACGAGTTAGCTAGAATGGTAAAAGTTAGCAAAGTCGAAAGATAGTTACAAGAGGAGGGGGAAAATCGTTTTTCAGAAACTGGTTACATATTATGTAGTTGGTCATGGCAAAGAAAGGGGCTGTACAAATCTCTTTTGAACACACCGATTTGGCTTGTTCAGATGAATTCTGATGGTCTCCACTGTATGTGAACGTCGTACTCGTAAACCATGCGAGAGGTTGGGTGGTATGCGATAAATAACTTTAAAAGCCTTGTTAGGGTCGACTTGATATCCAGTATCGACAACATGAGTTAGTATTGACCAGCGTATAGCTGCTTTATTCGGACCTTTGCCAATCCAAGATGGTAGGTGTTCAGAAATTTGAAGATGAGATTGCCTGATAGTACGCCCAACGCAACTAGCTCTGCACGAGCAGTTAAACTCGTAGGTGTACACGGAAGAGGCGAAACAAGGCAGTTTGTCTCTATATCTAACTTGTTGCTAATGCCTGTAAATTAACTTACCTGGAATTCCGTAATTTCGTAACTAACATATCTTGTTACTAATTTCTATTAGTCAATTGTTTTGATGGCCTTTAACCTCTTAATTTCACCCTCACCTCCCATACCTAAAACTAGGTAACTCAGATAACCGCTTGATTTGTAAAACAAATTTTGATGTAAGACACTATATATATCAGTGTAGAGCCAGCTGGGCAGCCAGCCAGTCAGCCGATGGTGAGAAACTGACTAAAGAGGAGGAATGCATATTTCTTCGCTCGATCTGTTTTCCTATGTGTGTTTTCGTTACGATAAGCTTTGAGAACTATTTCATAAGTGACTGTCTTCATTTCACCTTGAAGAGGAATTGAAATACATTCCAGTAAATTCTGAATGATGAGTGAATGGAAGTGAATGGGTTTTGTCGAATAATAGAGAATCTGTCTGTTGAATCTTCAAAAATAAATTCAGGACTCAAATTCTTTTTCAGTGGAGTAGTGTTTAAAATGCGATATTCAAACACTCTACTATAAATTTAGACAAAGTAACTCCAAAAGGTTAAGGCGTGGTATTGTAAAGCTCTTTATGGAGAATTAAGTTTTAAAAAGTGGGTCTCTCAGCTTTAGAAGCTAGTCAACATGAATTCCTGTAACTAGCCATTCAGTTGATTGATATTTATCAGTAGGATGTATCTGCAACCCTATGAGAACGACATGGACATTGGAAGTGGAAGAAACGAAAAGTCCAGTTAGCTGTCTTTCATCATAAGTGCTTCTGTTCCATCTCCCGCGTTAGTTGGTATTTTACGTGAGCAATATTGGGATTAGGCGTCGAGTGAAACCTAGGTAAGGAAGGGAAATCAATTGACGAGATTGTGAAGCAGCTGCATCGATCGGGAGAGATACGGTTAGGACATGTGTTGTGCATTCCTAGCCGCCGCCTTCCTCAAGGAGTAATGTTAGCTGACTGACATAGCATGGATCAGGTTGGAAAAGAGCTAGCACATGGTGGTCAAACCAAAACATGGCTTTATCAGTTAATGAAATCCACAACAGTTAATTTAAGCTAGGGACATCGGGAGGTGTAGACTACCTGACTTGCTGCGGTCTTCGGGATGGTAGAAACCAATGACTGGAGGTAATTGGTGATATGGCTAGTTCAAAATCGTTTTCATTGCCTGGTGCAGATGCATCCTCTGTTTGTGATCAGTCATATCCGATGAAATTATATTGTTCTTCCATATTACTATTCTTTTCGCCTCATTCACACTTCTGTTTACTATCTCTATTTTTAATCTCTCTTTACTGTCTCCTCTTGCTTTTTTGCCACATGGACGGAGAATGTCAACTCGGACTGCTGCGCATCTGTGCATAGTTCTACGTTGAAACCAGTCAGTCAGTTATGAGAACGATTAGAAGAAGTGAAGGTCAAAATAATATTCCTGTCTGATTATATCTGATTATATTTTAAAGGACTTGCTACCGGAAGCTGATTTCATTGTACCTACGGGTGGCCCTAACTTTAGGCTGTATTCCCTTCTATTATTGTCACATAATTTATCGTTGATAAATAACACCTCATTCTTCAAAATTTATTAATAAATCTCCTGTGGCGTAAACTAATAAATTCATTTTTTAAGTTATTGTGCAATGTGAAAAGTTAATTATTAAATGCATAAATGCACATTGGTCAATCAATAATTCTTCATGCTTCCGTTGGTATAATATACACCGCGAACTAGCAGAAGTTAGAATTCATCGGTTATTGACTTCCATCCCAGTGGTTGAATGGTATTCGAGCTTGTCTCACAACCTGAAGACCTTCGGTTCGATCTCTGGCGGCGTCATGGGTGCGTACTACTTGAAAGTACTCAACAAGGACGAAGCAGTTATCCAGTACTCTCTGGCTTTCAATGGTTCTCCAAATGGACTCAGTTTGTGATCAGTTTTGAAACTAATATACACTTTAAACATCGCCAAACTCAGTGAAGAAATATGTGGTAAACTACAGAATTAGAAATATCATTCACGAGTTGATCACGGACTGATATCAGTTAGAGAACCATTGAAAACCAGGGAGTACTGGACAACTGTTGTTTTAATGGTTCTCTAATTGATATCAGCCCGTGATCAACTCGTAAAAAACATAACAAACCCTTACAAATCAAACTATAGAAAATATCATTCAGCAACCTTATCAATAGAGTTGGTGACTATTTTCTTGCATTGGATTGTCTACTCATGACATTTCAAGCCGACCTCAGTGGAATCAGATTTTGTAATAAGTCCATTACCAATCTGCTAACAATAATCAGTAGTCCAATTCAATCCTAAGTAGTCACTTGTTACTTAACGCCATCATTTATTGTCTCCAGTTTACGTTGTACGTCGGTGCTTCAGTGGTAGAATACTCGCCTACCACTTATGTGGTCTGTGGTTCGATTCAGCGACTGACGCACTTCTAAACCATAGAAAGAAGACTGAGCATGAAGCTGGTAACAACACCCAGTCAGAACAGTACCAGGGCTAATGAAATTTCAAAGCTTCGAACCCCTTACTCCACTGGGGACAGTGACTAAGTCGTGTCTGACAATAAACTTTCCAAATGTATAAAGAAATTAATACTAATAAAGTTATCAAAATTACTAACAGTTATTTACTTACCTAAATTCTTTTCAGAAGGCTCGAGAAAGGCAACCGAATCGTAGAAGAAAGAAGAGAAACTGCAATGTTCACTGCAGTGATCAATATTTCTTAACTAGGGAAGAGAATAATTTGTTCGTTTATCACGGTAGCTGTTATAATTTCTCGTGTTTCATCCTACAATCAATAAGTAGATGGGTATGATGCAGGTTTCTGATAGGCAAATTCCAAAAACCTGTAAAGACATATTTATGTGGAGAATTAAATTTTTCACCAATCAAAACACACCGTATAATCTTATAGTCGATTTTGATAGGTTATTCAATTTTTTTCCCTTTTATAACGATTTATTTTCTGATGACCTTGTACTGTTTGTTTATTTTTGTCTGCTAGACTAACACAATACTGAAAAATGGCTAGGGCTAGTGGAGGGATTTTCTCGTGCGTGTCGTTTCATTTTCTAGCTCTTTTATCAGAATTTACTTCATTCCACCCATTATGCATAGTATTTCTTCCTCATTAATGTTTACGAAATTTTCCTCTTTATGTTGACGCATAAAGGAAGGACAAAGGTTTCCACCCACTCTTACTTTGTTGTGAAAGAAAAGAAACTATTAACAAAACAATTCGGGCATTGATTCCTTGCAGGTTTATTCTGAACGTCAAGCAGAAGTGCATTTATCATCCTGACGAAAAAGCTTTACACCTTCATCGCTGTAAGGTTGGGTTGTTGCTTCTTTGAAAAGTTTTAGATAAAATGATGGTGAAATCTGTAGCGACAATTTCAACAAATCACGCTCATATATAATGGTTACCCTTATAGGTTTAACCATGGAAACAATAACAAATATATCAGTTCTCTTCAAGTCACATTGTCAAAGAAGGTACTTATTATGGATTTGACATTCTACGATGAAATTATTACTGATATACTGAAAAGTCATCCATGTAATAACTTCATCAAAAACACTTTCTGCATATGCAGTTGACTTATGTCTGGTATACTCAAGCCTAAGTCAACAATGCGTGTAGGACTAGGTACCACCTATGTTCACATACTCATATGGACCTGATTACTTTGTATGTTGTAAGGATGTTCTGTGGGAACCTGTAACCTAATATCGTTTGCTTTAATTGACGAAATGGGAACAGTATGGTGACTGAATGTTCTATTTGTGTACATGTTTTATCAGGTGATTTAACACTCCGTGATTTATATTTAAAAAACATCATCTAGTCAACTTGACTTCAATCACTGTAACAGTTTACGTTTTCATCAACTAGGTATAGCTAAAGCATTAACCATAGAGGAACAAAAATCTATATCAAACCTGTTTCTTCACCCTCCCCTCCCCCTTTCTGGTTCAAGTCAAAATTTCACCAGTATCATTATTATTGTTTTAATTTGTGACAGTACCTGCGATTCATTTCAAATCTCTTAATGCTCGCTAATAGCGTTATGTAAAATTAATCTATTTTAACTCTAACCATTGTAAAACAATTTGAATTAATTTTATCATATGCATTTCCGAGTTTGAACGCAGATTGATATCAGTTAGAGAACCACTGAAAACTAGCTGGGAGCACTGGACAACTGTTTCGTCCCAGTTGGGGACTCATCGGCAGTACGTTCCCACCGGGGTTGGAACCTAGGACCTTCTGGTTTCAAGGCCAGCTCGTAGACCATTAAGCCACTGGGACCCGATCCAATGGCCAGCTCATGAAATTCAACTTCTGCCAATTCACGATATAGAGTGACTGGCACTAGCGAATGTCATCGTTGGTGAGCATTTGTCCTCACACCCGACCTGCTCTACCCCATTGGTCACAACATCCTACTAGAAACCAGCTAACTACCTACCTGAATATGGCCAGTCGCTAGTAGGCATCAGATTGATAATCAAGTGTTGGTTTGTGGGGATTTGATTGGCTGCAGGATGCAAATGTGATGAAGCCTAAACTAGGACGAAACAGCTATTCAGTACTCCCAGGTTTACCAGTAGTTCTCTAACCGATAACAGATCATGATGAAATCTTGTAACCAAATCCCAGCAAACCAACACTTGAATTCTTATTAGTTAATGAGTATACGGATCAATCTCCGTCATTTATGCCAGTTTATGAATAACAGCAGTTATAGGATGTAATACAAAGGATGCAATATACAAGGCGAGTATTTTGATGTGGTTGTGTTCTCTGAGCTGGATAGTTGATTTGCGAAGGCGAGTATGTCAACTAATAAAAAAGGGCGAATTCCAATCAGTGATCAGGAATAACAGATTTTTACGATAAGCTAAAATAATAAACCTTTATGGAAGACAATGACGTATCACCATACAACAACTACATACCACTTTGAAAAATCATCAGAATTTACCAAATTACTAAGGTTGTTTTTCATTAAGCGCTTTTCTAAAAGTAGATTTCCATAAAGGTTGATGATGCTGATTCTGAACAGTGTGTTGAAATGCATTGTGAGTAGATGAAGGCTTACCTAATAACCTCATGATGTAGAATTGAGTGTATTTAAAAGCTGGTTTCTCACAGAAAGCAGCTATGACTACTCCTTATTTTGAGTAGAACTAATCCACAACATCATAGTTATGCTTTTATTCCAGGTATAATTTCCCCCACTACACTAGAGATGAAAGCTGTTCCAATCACAGACACCGATACGTATCCTGTGAGAAACAGTGAAACTTGTGTTCTGTAAAGGGGATTTCAGCACTCGATAACAGTGTACGAATTTTCACTCAACCACAAATATTCCCAAACTCGGAAGTACACAGTAGACTGAATGAGAAGGCAGTATCATTAGAAATCACGACTATTACGCCTGTAGTTACTTAACAGAACCAGAAAAATTCTAGTTTAAGGAATAAAATCTGCGTTTTGAGTGTTTACCTAGCACGAATAAAATACTACTGACCAAAAACTTAATCGACCCAAAGGTCAAATGTCTGGTTCACACGTCATGTAAACAATGACTTATATCTCCTCTTGTTCTACGCATATATCGACCTAAATTCTCGTCATGTGTATCTTGTCAATATCCAGAATAACTTGCTTTTGTTATGTTTTGTGCTAATACAATGGAGAAATATTCCCGCTGATTATAAATTTTTGACATCTGTCTACGTTTTCAGTGGTTTAGTCATGTTCTTTAGAATATATCTTAGGTTTAAGGCATGATACAAATACAGTTACATTACAGTTTCGCGAGCACGACTCAAATTCAGTCAGAGCACATGGTGATATATGTACAGAAGTCAAGGTGTTCTTAAGTAATCCTTCATGTACTCTTTCTCCCTATTGCATGACTTATTTTCGGCATGCGTCTCCATGCTCTTTCATTAACATTCTGTTTCTCTAGGTGGCTTTCATATGACACAACCATTGTCAATACTTACTAATCTTCAATCCCAACCCCCACTGCCATAGAAACAATTCGATTATTCATCACATTTCTGAAACATTTTCATGACTTAAACCGTAACCCTAACTAACACACGAAATAATTATATATCAATGCGATTCTCCAGCTAGGTGAATGAATTCGCCGCCGTAAAGAGACTCTTCGCTGAACAGTCATAAATACTGATTTTGTGACCAGATGTTAACAAATTCCTTGAATGCATGATGTTGCACATCTTCGATTATCTAAATACATGGCAGATAAAGGAATGAGCGAATAAATAAGCATTCCTCTTCAATCAGTTTCTCATCATCGACTGGCTGGCTGGCTCTACACTGATATATATGCTGTCTTACATCAAAATTTGTTTTACCAATGAAGTAGTTATTTTAGTTAATCAGCTTTAGTTATAGCGGAGTGAAGGTGAAATTAAGAGGTTAAATGTCATCAAAACAATTGACTGATAGATATTAGTAACAAGATATGTTAGTTACGGAATTACGAAATCCCAGGTAAGGTAATTCACAGGTGTTAGCAACAAGTTATTGCATAATCAACAAATTTGAAAAATGGTAGTGATGTCTAAGAAGAATAGGATGATTCAGAGGAATTACGTAGAATACAAACGAGTTAGCTAAAATGGTAGAAGTTAACAAAGTCAAAAGATAGTTACAAGGGGAAGGGGAAAATCGTTTTTCAGAAACTGGTTACACATTATGTAGTTGGCCATGGAAAAGGAAGGGGATGTACAAATCTCTTTTGAACACACAGATTTGGCTTGTTCAGATGACATCTGATTGTCTCCAATGTATGTGAAAGTCGTACTCGTAAACCATGCGAGAGGTTAGGTGGTGTGCGAAAAATAATTTTAAAAGCCTTGTTAGGGTCGACTTGATGTCCAGTATCGACAACATGAGTTAGTATTGACCAGCGTATAGCTGCTTTATTCGGACCTTTGCCAATCCAAGATGGTAGGTGTTCAGAAATTTGAAGATGAGATTGCCTGATCGTACGCCGAATGCAACTAGCTCCCCACGATCAGTTAATCTCGTAGGTGTACACGGAAGAGGCGAAACAGGGCAGTTTTTCTCTATATCTACCTTGTTGCTAACGCCTGTGAATTAACTTACCTGGAATTCCGTAATTCATTAATTTTTGCCCCTCCTTCAAAACGTAGGTACCTTGTTACTAATATCTATTAGTCAGTTGTTTTGATTACTTTTAATCTCTTAATTTCACCCTCACCTCCCATACCTATAACTAGGTAACTCAGATAACCGCCTGATTGGTAAAACAAATTTTGATGTAAGACACTATATATTTATTATTTTATTATATTTTATTTTTTATTCTATTATAGCTTGACTCCACACCGTAGTTTCGATACAAGTGTGAAATTTTCAGCATATGATATCGGTAACCCAAATTTTGCAGGCCGACCGTTGATATCGGGTGTGCGCCAGCCGGGGATCGAACCCCAGACCATGTACATGGTCGGCGAGAGTCCTAACCGCTGTGCCAGCCTGGCAGCCAGCCAGTCGATGATGAGAAACTGATTAAAGAGGAGGAATGCATATTTCTTCGCTCGATCTGTTTTCCGATGTGTGTTTTCGTTACGATGAGCTTTCAGAACTATTACATAAGTGACTGTCTTCTTTTCACCTTGAAGAGGAATTGAAATACATTCCAGTAAATTCTGAATGATGAGTGAATGGAAAAAGCGTTTTGTCGATTAATAGAGAATCTGTCTGTTGAATCTTTTGAAATTTTCTTCTCGCTAATATTAGAGTTGGCGACTCAACCACTGGATGTACTACCGTTTTATTGGTAGACCA